GCGTGCAGAATTTTGATGAAATGTGTTCTATGTGTGTTTGCGAAAGTGTTATTTGGCCCTTTTTTCCCTAGTGTTCGCCTGTCCCGCCTTCCGGCTGGATTGGATCTGCGTCGAAGGAGACGAATCTTGGGATGTACAGCTCCCCTGCATTCACGTCGCCAGCGATTCCGCCACAGAAAATCCAACTCAAACGGGCCTCCGGGCCTTGCACGTCCGGGCTCACGCAGACATCCAAGCCTTGGTTGAGGAGCACGCCGAAAGCCGCTTCGGTTCTCACAGAATTGCTTGGAAACCCATGCACTCCAATGGCAAAAATGCAATGGGTGCGATCTGTGGATATCCCAGCGCAGTGGACCTCAAATTTTTGGCTGTGAAGCCAATTTCGTCGGGCTGCGCGCCGCGGGCTGTGTGCACGGGTCGCACACGTCGAGACTGTCAACAGGGTGCTTACAACTTTACGGACTATGGTCCGTCCCGTTCAGCCCCTCCGACACTGGGCACAGCAGCATGCGGCCTGCAACCCGCACGCAGCACGGCAGCCACTCCCCAAATACCTTAGTCACGTCAGAAAAGGCAGTACAGAATCAAATCTTATACAATTTCTATCAGGTCGCGTCCAAACATGGCAGTTAAAATCATTCTCACTCTCCTTGCGCCCCGTACTCCACTATTTGTATAACATCTGAGCATGCTTCCGTAAACCTCACAGCATGCTCTACCAATCCTCACATAACCCCCTTGCAAAGCTCAGGTGGACATCACTTCACTCCTTCGTAACCTTTCCAGCACACACGCAGCACCACAAGCGCATCTGTGCTGTGACCTCGAAGATTCGCAGGAATATTCGCTCACACCTACGGCTCCGCCTGCCCTTTTCCCGCACTACAATGTACTACTTGCAAACAACGTTGTGACGTCACAGCCACGCCACAAATCTGCCCAGTGATGCTTCTTGATCGAATTAAGGACTGATACACTCACCCAGCGCATCAGCAACAAAAGTCTATAACTTTTCATAACCAAATTCGTGTCCAGATTCTTGATGTCTCCATACGTGACAATTCGCATCCCTATAGGACAGTCATACCTCAAAGAACCACGTAAAATACATCTGCCTAAGGCAGAAGAAATGAAATGCGATGATGTCGCACCTCGCCCTAGGCTGTTGCGAATCAATTGTGCATTGGTCAGCATGAAAATCCACGTCGGCTTTGGCGTTTTGGTACACGGCAATCATTGAGAAGTCAAACCTATTCCAACATGCATCTTGAGAATTCCTCAGTCAATTAGAGTAGGACTTCAAATCTCGGCCTCGCCAAAGTATTCAGCATAGGCTCGTGGCAGTTTCCACAAATGTACAGTCGCGCAATGACACAGATTGACCATCATCTTTCCGGAAACTTAGTAGCATAGTAATCAATCGCGTAGATCGCCTTGCAGATGCCATAGACTGTTGTAGCACGCATCACCACCTCTCTTGGGTCAGTTCCAGCTGATCACTTCTGATGGACAGCTTGGCCGACATTGGCAAATTCTTGTCTAGGAAGACGTTTAAGACGCACAATCTCAGCCCTGCAGTGTCTCACTGGATGCCCGCGTTTGCTGCTCTGTCTGCCACTGTGAGTAATCCGGCAGCGGTACACCATTTGGCCCCCCAAAGACCTTCACCTATCCCGCGAGACTGTTGCTGCGTTGCGCCACCACCAGTGCCGCCGCCTCTCGCCCTTCGCGCGTTCTGCAAGCTACAATCCCGCACAGCCCTCGAGGCCTCCACCCAACCAGTACATCCATCGGCGAAGATTCGCCATGAGTCGCAGCTATCGCCGGTCCCACCGATTGCCCTCGGTGCTCCCAGCCTGTCGATCCCGATCGGCCGGGGCGAACCAATCGACGCTCATTGCTGCGGGCCATAGGTGCAGATCTATCCTTCCGGCAGTGCTGCATTGCCGTAAGCGGTTTCCGGGTGGGGAAGCAGCTTCGCAAGCCAAGAGCGCATGTCCAAAGTGGTGGCGCCCGGAGCCCAGTGCATCACGTCACTTCTTGGGATGTAGGACCTCCGTGGCATCGGTATCGTGTCCCATATCTTGGTAGAATTAGGCGCACAGCGAGATACTCATGTGCCTTGCCGCATTCCCGCCTCCAGATTCTTCTTTTATGCTGGAGTTCATCCCTTTGTAGGAGGCTGAGCCCTTTTTTCACCTTTGTGGGTTTTCACCAATTCTTATCCACCTTTTGAGACATACGGGTCGTCAGCTTGCCATAAATTTCAAATCATGTATTGGCGACCCGAACATACGCAAAAAGCAACATTGGCATCACAACTTGCTGAAAAATAGTGGGAATGTGTGCATGATTTCAGAGCTTTACGCTCACATACTGCACAATTCGTGCTGAGACACCCTACATAGTCTTTGCGCATCAATAACCAACATTTTTCCATTCGAAACATTGAATTGATTTTGTCCCGCCAAGCTCCCCCCGCACGACCGAACAGCGCCCACCACTTGTGGTCTTTTCAGGACTTGGAGAAGCTGACTCTGGCATTCGCCACGTACATGACGTAACTTCAATCTGCGATACCATCACATGGCTGGGATCATGGAGGAGGGCGGTATCAAGGTGGCTTTCGCGTCCCGGCGGCAGCAGTGACCCATATCGGCCAACTTTGGTCCTTGGCCACACATGCTGGAGGAAAAGTGGTATAAGACTTTGTCCTTATGGCACTGTGTCGTGCCACTTGTTCCTGATATTATATCCAAAATGTTACAAGTTCGCGTATCCCCACGCGCTGCGCACGCGGCGTGCTCTGATTAACCCAGCAGTATCTACGATATTACATCAGATGCTGTGACATTGCTATGGTATCATTGTGGCATATTGCGGCGCTGATTTACTGTGCAACACAGGGTGCAACGGCCTGTTGTGGCATGAACGGGCAGTACCTTCACGGGCTTGCTCCTTTGCCTGGGCGTTAGCCGATTGTTGGCCATGCTCAAGGCCCCTAGAGCATTTGCGATTGTGATCCAAGCCAATTCGCATTCGCCCGAGGAATGCGCATCACATTTGAAAGTTGATAGGGCCGGCCCTGGAGCCTGCAAGGCAAGGAACGGGGCAAAGCCGATGCCTTGAGAACAACCCCAGGCATCCCAGCGCGACGATTGGGAGGGGGAGCAGCAGGAGCAATATACTTCTTGGAAGAGTGTCTTTTTGACTCTTCGTGTTGCTGATAGGTTGTTACTATATATTCTGTGTACTACTTGGAAGTATGTTTTGCTGTGTGGCTGAGGCGCAGCGAGACCCCGCGAGCACCGGCGGGGCAGCAGCGCAGATTCGCGGCTTGTATCTTCCAGGGGAAAGGAGGCGAATGGGCGGGAGAGGGGAGAGAATCGGCCGTGCCTTTGTTGCAGAAGGTGTTGATGGGATGAAGTCAGAGCCTTCATTCCTTCCAAAGGCGCATTTTCAGGTGCGTGCTGCGGTTCCAGAATGGCGTCCCTGAGAATTGAAGTGAGCAATAGTCAATGAACGCATACATTGGAGAAATGCTTGCCACCGTCTGGAAGATGAAAAGCTGGACGGCAGGTGACATCACCTCCTTCAAGACTTCTAAATGTCAAGACGAGCTAGAAGCAGTATCGAGCAATGGTGCCTCGCCTTAACACACTTTTCTGCCGGAGCACGCTGCAGTGAAGAGTTGATGCTCTGCTGTGCCCTGGCGTGTGCAATCCTCAGAAATACGCAAAGCCAAATTGCGGGGCCCTCAACACACCCCGCGCACACGCAATTGGCGGCTCACACTCGATTTACAAGCCCGAATCCACTCAAGGGTCGATTCGGCCGCGTGGCACACAAAAGCCCGAGCCACCACCACAAACAGCGCGACTGCCACGCATGGCAGCCCGCACAGCACGATCCAAAACCACAGTGTGACGCACACGTTCGTTTGTGTTCCATCGCCTCAGCGAAGACTTTTGGAATCCCAGGTGCCCAAATGAATCACAACATGATGCCATCCTGCCCCACGAGCCCGGACTCCACTCGGGGGGGACCGCGGACGGCTTATTGCAAGAAGACTCGACGGGCCGTCGATAAAAAAAGTGCACGCCTGCACGAAAAAGCCCACGAGCGCCACGCCAGGAATGCCCTGGCGTAGGCGCCGACCCAAAATCGACGGCCCACTACCATGCCGCTCACCCAATGGAAGAAGAAGAAGAATTGACACACCGAGGCTAGGTCCAATCTGACAGCAACTTCGACTCTTTTTCTGTGCGGTTTCCAATACACCAGGCCACTACGCAGCGCCATCCCCAGCACACACACTCTGCAGTAGCCCTGCACACTACGCAGCACCGAGGAACGTACATCGCGGTGCACCTCATACCGATGTACGTACATTACATAGCCCCACAGTACAATGTGTGCTGTGTGCCAGGGGTATTTCCCACCTACCAAGCCTGTCGGTGACTTGTAGCTTGACTTGAGTCCGGTGTGCTGGCCACAACCTCACCAAATTCTCACACGTTTTATCGCATTCAATGGAGCGAGTCCCGACCGCTGACAATCTGCCAGCTGCGGCCGGCCAATCCTGGGGACGAACGATGGCTCCCCTAAGCGACCACTTCCCCTATGCACACGACATCGAATGGCAATCATTCCTTTGCCCCCATTGTACACCCATTCCAGGGTACACCCATTCTGTGCTACACCCATGCTAGGCTACAATAGCAAACAAACGGGCAAGACGGCCCCTTGCTCTCCATCCCCCTTCGCCGCCTCCACCACTGCCCGTCTATCCCACAATCCCCCCTCTCTCCCCGTATCCTCCCCCCCTCCCCAAATCCCTCTCAAACTAAAAACCAGAAACAGAGAACTAAAAATCCAAAAACCGTACCAAACACCAAAGAAAGCTGCCTAAAGCAGAGAACTAGATTCTAGAAAAGCAAACTAAGAAAGAAAAGAACACCAAAAAGGCCCAAAGTTCCGCGTCCGCCCGGGTTCGCTCCCTAGTCCCACTCGTAGTCCTCGGGGTACGGCGGGATGCCCCAGTCCGAGAACAGCTGGCAGGGGCCGGTGTTCGTGTACACTATGCCCCGCCGCCTGTCCTGCATCTGCTCCAGCCACGACTTCAGGCGCTGCAGCAGCCCGCGGCCATTCGGCCCGGCGTAGAGGGATGGGCACGACGCCGATTTCACCATCGACCCCTTCTGGCTGTCCGAGGCGTTGAGCGGGTGCCGGCCGCCGATGGCGCTGCGCGAGTGCGCGGCGAAGGCAGGATTCGAGGTCCACTCGGAGAGACCGCCGGGCTTGCTCGCGGGCGGGTTGGCGGGACCGACGCACACTTCGCCTGCAGGAGCAGGAAACGCCTGGGGTTAGGCGGATTCTGCCAAACTCTGCTGCAAAATTCTGCTGGCGAACCCTGCTGCTCTGTTGTGCTGCAGAATTCTGCTGTTGAATTCTGCTGTCATGCTCAGCTGATCTGTTGTGCTGCTCAACTCTGCTGTCAAGTTCCGCTGCTGAATCGTGCTGCTATATTCTGCTGCTAAATTGTGCTGCAAAACTGTGCTGCAAAATTCTGCTGCTACATTCTGCCGCCACAATATGCTGCTAATTCCGCTACTATATTTTGCTGCTAAATTTCATCGTTTGCGTTCGCATTCAAAAGCCAATGCGGGAGCTTGCATATCTTGCTGGGGATGATGGGCCTGGCACTAGGCACCAAATACTGATGCTGTACTGCTAGTACAGTACAGTGGTAGTACAAGACAGTTGCGTGCTTTTTCCCACGCAGCGCAAAGCCTGAGGGCCTAAATCGCCTCCGCTACGTCCAATATGGCACCGAGTCCACGTTCCATTGTGGTGCAGAGTCCCAAAACTCATGTTCTGAGTGCGAACTTCATCAACTCATGATGTGCACTCATGATGTGCAACTGTATCTTGTGGCAAAACACGCTGAGCGCAATTTGAGCGAATTTGGTCTGAGTGGCCCATCGCGCCCGCCCATGGGTAAGGCAACTTGCGCTGCAGCTGCTTGAACGGACGAACCTCGTGATGAATTTGGTGCGCCTACTAATAGGGGAAATGACAGCTACGCCTGACACACGGGGAGCCGACAGCTGCACCGAGGCTCGGCGCCTTGGCATCTGCGCTCTGGCTCGCAACTGTAAGCCGCTAGAATTGACTGACGCCCAACAGGGGATGTTTCACCCCACATGCGTCGGACTACATGCATACTCTGTGGCCTTCCCGCGGCCAACTTTGGAGGCGCGTTGGAGTTGGTAGATGCGGCTGAGCACGTTTCGTGCCGCGGCCACTCGATCAGCGCACACAGCACCGCAAGCGCGAGCTCCGTTTGATTGACACCCGCCGTGCGTACCCCTCACGCCTGGCAATGCAATCCGGGGGAAGGCGATCTGCGTTTGATTGATGGCCAATCCGTGATGCCCAGCATCCCCCCAGCGCCTCCTGTACACCTCAAATCCCCAAATATCCCTCAATCCGGGCCTGTGCATAACCGCGTACTTAATATCGTACTTAACCCGCACCACCCCCTGGTTCCAGGCTGTACGCTGTGCGCAACACACGCCAACGACATGCTCGACAGAACTATCTGACAGGCCCGTGCTTGGACCTCGGCTGCCAAAGCGTAAACTACACTGCAACGCATCAGGCCGACTGCTAACGTGGAGGCTTGCGCGCCTCACCGCGTATCCAGAGCAATGGCCAGAGCACCGTAGGCGCGTCGCGGCAGGAGACCTGAAGCCCCGGCACCCAAACGCCCAAAGGGGAAAGAACGTCCGGCGCACAACGGGGCCGCAGACCTGCCCGTCTTCGACACACGGTCATCAGTTCGCCATCGAGGCCGTATTACGCTTGGCCGCATTTGCACACTACCGCCAGAGCACTCGCTGCCGGGCACGGGCAAGACGAACCGCCCCGCACTCCCGAATTGCCCACAGAGGAAGGACCGCGCAACGCCCAACGCCGCCGGAAACCTGCTCGACTTCGAGACGCAGTTAGGAGTTCGCGACATGGGCCATCTTGTCGTCGACCGCGCATCCACGGCGATGGCAAGAGCACCCACAGCCGCGTCGCGGCCAGGAGAACCGCCCTCGACGACTCAAACGCCGAGACGAATGGACGGAAAGAACGCCCAAACGCGCTCCCAACTCGCCCTTCTTGGATGCGCGCCTACCGGTTCGCGGTCGAGGCCACCTGACTGTCGACCGACCGGGCTTTGAACAGCCACGCGGGGCGACGTCTCTCGCGCACCCTCGGTCTCACACCCGCATCGTGAGAGTTCGGATTCCGGGTTCAAGGCGGCGCCAGTCGGACAGTCTGCACCCTCGCTGGCGCCTGGAAATTGCTGCACAGACCGCGGTGCTGCACTTTGTCACTTTTCGACAATGGTACCCAAACAGGGCCCCACGCACGGGGGAGAAGCCCACCAGGCGGATAGCGTCTGGTCCGGGAACACAAGCGACCGGCCACTCCCCGCGATCCCACCCACCGCATCGCCAAACGAACGCCCAAAGCGCCGCTTTTTGCCGTCGATTGAGCGCGGAAAGGAAACACATTTCGAGTGTTCTTCCCAAGCAGTCACACCCGCCCTCCCACACTTGCAGAATGGGGCATCTACCGCCGGGACGATCGCCCCGGTGGCCAGGCGCGGGACAACTCGAGAATGAGCCACCCCGTCGATTGCGCGCCAATCTCGCGGGCCGCGCTTCGCGTCTTTCGAGCCACAGTGGCGCCCCCGCGCCGGCCGAGTCGGAACAAGGGGTTCCCCGACCAAGGATCCTGGCAGCAAGAGTCGCGCGCCACCTGCCTAGGAATCAGCGAGAGAAGGCCTGGGGCTGCGGAAAAAGAAAGAACAGCTTTCGCGGAAGAGAAAGGCTCTCCGTGCGTTCACTTCAAGCACTTCTCGAACCCCCCCACCCCACCCCACCGCCCCTTCCCACACTTGCAGCATCGATTGGTCACCGCCCCTAGGACAGTCAGCCCCTCAGCCAAGGCGCAAGGCAGCGTGAGTCACGCGCGCCACCCACCTGACCAGACGCTGTCCCAGAGCTCATCAAGCCTTTCGAACTCCTCCTTCGAGCGGCAGGCGGCCGAAGCGCCGATCGGCGGCCAGCCGTGGCCGCTCCCCACCGGCCAGCCGGCCACGGGCCCCGCGACCATCCGACTGCGATCACCACAGGGCGGTCAGTTTCACCGAGCTCCGGGTTTTGGAAACTCTGCTGCCGGGGCTTTCGGAGGTTTGAGCTTTTAGGGGGGGAGGCGTCAGGGGGCGGGGCAGGTGCGGGCCAGGTGGGGCCGTGGGCCCAGGCAGGGAGGGCCGTTGTGCCTTCCAAAATCACGTGGTGCTGTGTGTGGGGGAACCTTGTGGGAGTGAGGGGGGTTGTCGGACACTGCGATATTAATATTGATGAAGTTCCATCAATTGCGTGTCACCGTCGTTCATCACTCAGGGAGCGTTGATTTCCGCTAGAGTGAGCAAACACTGAGCTCCAGCCGTGCTCAAGGACCTAGTATGAGCAACGCAGCAACTGTGTGGAGCAATTGGGCGCCGGAAAAGTGGGACCATATCACAGAGTTCCGCTGAACATCCCAGTTACTGTGATTGATTGTTTGATGGTTCGATTGAACAATGTAACTTCATGTCAGCATCAGCAGTTCGCTGTCAATGCAGAATACTGAAGGTCTGATGGCACATCTGTGTTGTCACGTCACATGACGGCACTTGATGCTACTGGGTACCACATGACTAAGGTTGGTGTGTATGGCGCTTCGGCTAAGCTGGGCTGCCAAAGCACTGTGGAGGCACAGTGGGCACCTTTTACATTGATGAACAGTGGCACATACTGCGATTCTTGTGGCGAACTGCTTTGCCGCATTTCTACAGTGTTCAGATTTGTATGTGGACACACCGAATGTCAATACTGTTGGTTTTTGACCCCTTCTGCATAGTAATGCAACGCTTGGCCTCTTTTTTGGAAAATAGCAATAAAATAAATAACGTTGTTTCAATATTTGTGTGGAGCAACGTAAAATATAAAAAATGACGTTCTGAAAAACAAATGTGGAAAAACAAGCGTAACGGTAGGCTTTTCCAATGCATAAGGATTTGAAACCAAAAGTTATAGGGAACAACATTGTGCATGCACTGGAGCACTATGTACACCGGAATGCCAGTACAGGGAAACAAAAATGCGGATACGTTGGAACAGTACTTGCAAACAAGAAGATATAGTGCCGGTGAGGGCGCTGCAATACTATTGTTTGATTTGCACTCCTGCGGTCAAACAGCCCATGGGGCGACTGTGCACGCCTCACACGCGTGCATCTGCTGCAGAGCGTTGCCTTGCCCGCTTGAAAAGTGGGCAGCGAGGGGGAGTGGTGTTGCATCATACACTCGACTTTGGGGTTGTCTCATGACTGCGGTGCTGCCTGTGGACTTGTGTACACTGTGCTCCTTGATGCTGTCACTAGCGGAAATGGCCGAAACTGGGACGCCAGGTTACAATGAATGACGCCTGCTGGGATGCCACTAGGATGCTTTCTCTCACCCGGATGGTGCAAGAAAACGCCCCAGTGGTGTCCCAGTAAGCGTCATTTATTGTCGTCTGGCGTCCCATTTTAGGCCATTTCCACTAGTGTGTGGGGTGGGTTTTCTGCCAACCATTGTGAGGTCGTTGTAGACCGCTAGCAGGGGGACGCCATTCTGGCTATCTGAGTTCAGCAGAGACACGTGACATGACCAGTGTGTCGATTTTCCACATCGCCTGCAATGATTTTTCATTCATTCGTCCACCAAGCGCTTTGAAATTCGATGCTGAAGAGCGACGTGAACGCCCCAAGGGCAAAGCAGCCCGCCCCAAAACAGCGTCGTTAAAGTACAACAAAATCCAATACATGGCGATGCTGACCTTCCATTCTCGGCTACGTTCCGAACGCTCCCCTCGCCATCCTTATAGCTAGGAGGACACTTTGCTACAAAATGAAACCAAAAGCCTTGACACAAACTAAATTGGCAACCAGGGAGCAACCGGTTGTCTTCCACCGCATGATTTGTCCATTGGAGTTTTTCGTTCGCTGCAGACAGAGAACGAATCACCCAGGCCCTTCGTAAAGTGATATGGCGCCAAATAGAAGAAAAAGCAAGCCGCCGAATATCTGTGACAAGCAGCAGCAACAACAGTGTCAAATGTCGAACTTGAGTGCGAAGCAGCACAGCGCACGCCCAAAGCAAGTGCATGTCCACACGCTGATTGGCAGTTAACGCCATGGTCAATTTACGATTGGTTGGTCTGATTGATCCACAGTGCCGACAGCTGGGCCAACGCCGCATCGGCGGTGTTCATAAGTGCGACGAGCGCATATTGTGAGACTAATTGACTCAATCGATATGACACAGGAGGTAGCCAGGAGGTATCCGTTTCTTCCCATCTTGCCGGGGAGGGGTAGTGCCCAAGATTGGTTCATGGAGCCCAAAGCGTTGCGCCAATGAAATCCATGCCACACAAATTCCTGATTTTCTGAAGAGATTGTAGATGATGGTACAATGAAGGAGGTGTCCTCGCGAGCAGGCGAGCGGGGACTCAAGCAAAGTGATTTGGCATTGATGTGGTGAACCACACCCGACTGGCTTCACCATATGCCATATGTGAGGCAGATCACGCCAGCAAAATCTGCAAACCATGGCGCAACGCCAATGGTGGCGCACGTGGCAGCAAATCGCCAGTGGTTTGATGAACCTGAGAGGACGGTTTCAGCGAATATCGCACGCCAGAAGCGACTAGCTTGGACAGCAACCTGGACCGGACAACATGCGGTGACTCATTCTCTTCCTCTTGCATATTTTCTGTCCTTCCATTTGCCTCTTCAGGAAAATGGGAAACAGCAAGGGAACTACTTTCCCTGCATGGGACAAGTAGCAAGAGGGAGAGACAATGCTGTTGCGCGCTCTCGTCATCACTGCTCGTTCTATCATCCTGCAGCACTCCACGCCGCCTGCAATGCCGGCCATCACCGCAACTGGGGGTACAGTATCCAGGCAACAGACGGCAAACGCATCCCAAGCAACATTGCCACCGATGGGATCAAAATACTCACCGCGACCATTCGCTCATTTATGTGGGCCGCCAGCTGCTTGCCTCCCAGCACCGCCAAGCCGGTGCAAGCAGTATGTCCCAGCACGCCGCCCAGCACAACGCCGTACACATTCCGAGACGCCGCTAGCCTGCCAAAGGGTGATACAGTACTTAAATACAGTACTGAGTTAGTTTCTAGTATCAGTTTTAGGTTTCGAGGGTTCAAAGGTTTAGGTTTTTGGTTTCTAAGGTTTAGTTCTTAGGTTTAGGTTTTAAACCCAAGGCGCTCCACGAGGGGGAATAAACACAATTCGAGCCAAGTGTGACGCTTGTCAGTATTTGTCAAGCAAATACTATGTGTGTGTCAAAATTAACAATAGCAGTATTCGCCAAATGCTACTTGAGGAAACACTAACAGCAAAAAAGAAGAAAACAGTGTTTGTCAAATACTGTTTGAGCGCGGCAGGCAGTGGCACGTTTGTCGGGTACTGTGTTCTTATCCGGCAATACGGACTTGGCAGTTCCCAACATTGGAGCTAGGGGGTGGTGATCTGTCCTCGCGCGAAAATGAAAGGAAAGCGAGCTTTTCCCTGTGCAAGGGTGCTGCCGCATACGGCTGCACTTCCGGCCTGGGTGCTCTTTTCACTGGCTTTCTTGGCACAACAGAAACGACAGGACATTGCTCGGTCCCTTTTCCACTTTCCAAGATATTTTGAGATCTTTCTGTTATGGTTCGTAGATTCTCTGTTAATGTCTTCTGAGTCCAAGCTCTGGCTTCTTTCTTGCACACTTCTTTGGGAGCGATCACAGTGCACTAGTGGCTTCTCAACTTCGTCCTTTCGGTGTTATGACGTTTTTATATAATTGACTGACTGATAACTAAGTCGCTGAATTTTACTCTGCTGCATTGTGGATATGTTGCTGGTCACTTGCTCATAGCCTTGCAAGGTTCTTGAGAAGGCAACAACACATTTCTTCTATCTGGATAACCAACCTAGTTGGTGCCCAGCCTCAAATTACCCATTCACGCAGCTTCGATCCACGTATAAGCCGCACTGCATTGCTCAACCCATGCGTCAGCAGTGTCCCGTGTGTTCAATTGGAACCCAACTCTATTTCATGGGTTCAGAATCTAACCATATGCCTTGGGGGCTTTCCCTACCTGTGGTCGAGGGTAAGCGCAGTCACTGGGTGCGAGACATAGAGAACGTCCCTTTTGGAATCTGCAGAAAATAGATAGCGCCCCTAGCACAGCAAAAGCTCGCAACCAGACCAAAAAACGAAAAAACAAGAAAAAGAAAACCAAGAAAAAGAAGACTGAGCAATACAAGCTCACCCTATGGTCGCTATTTGGCTTCTGTCCCCCCACTCGGCCAGGAAGGTGAGCGAGAAGGCTTTCAGGAAGATGCGCGAGAAGAGCAGCCGCAGCAAATTCATGGCCCACGAGCTCCTCTTCCCATTTGCAATGTCGTCGCCATTTGGATTCTTCCCCAAGTCGCCTGTCAATTCGTACTCCGCTTGTTCCAGTTCCCCGTCTTCTCCCTGCGCACCGAGACAGTGGGCAACTGCCCGCACTCAACAAAGACTTTGTTGTAGTACTTAGTAGTACTTAGCAGTACTTAGTACTTAGTACTGCAGTACTTAGTACTGGGGAGATGCAGAGCTGCTTGTGTACGTTTAAAACAGGTCTGGCTGAAGCAAAAGGCGTCAGTTTCGTCCTGCGCTTGACATGCATTCCGTTGATGTAAATCCCAAAGCAGTGGCATGCCAGGCGTGTTAAATCAGGCTGACATTGGGAAGTGGCAATATCCTTTCTAGGGGCGTGCCAGGCATGTTAAATCAGGCTGACATTGAGAAATGGCAATATCCTTTCCACGGGCGTTTCACCAGCGGGAACAATACGCATGGTCGTCATGAGGGTGATGTGCCAATTCGTCATTTCCATGCAATTGTTTCCTACTGTGACTACATTGCTGCTTGTCAAATTTTGTCAGGCAAGTCCTGCATCGATCGTTATAGGGGATGGATAATGTACACAGCAGTCTCCATGATGATCATCGCATCTTTCTACCCATTGTGTGTCAATAGCAATGCCATCAATTGTGTTGTAACCAGTACCCCAAAACCTCAGTCCTGTATATTAGATGCGCACAGTGAAGTAACGCAGTGAACGAGCTAAGAAACAGCAAACTGAATCAAGAGTGGAAATTTGAACGAGGAGGCTTGGTCTGTTACCTCTGATTTCTTGAAGCTCTCCCGAAGCATCGCAAACCCAAAAAAGAAAAAAAGAATTGTCGCGGCATGATGCGTGTACAATTTGGGTATCTGCAAGAAGACACAGTCAAGTCATTGCAGCATCATTTGTATCAATGCCATTGTCCCTCACAGCTGGTCGCCATACTGGCTGCCACTCCGTAGTTTTATTTCACTGATAATTGCTGCATACATAATGTTGTGCACAGCATTGATGCCGACCACCACAAGTTTGATGATGATGTGACGACAATGCAATGCCAGCACTGGCAATTCACAGATTTGAGCGTCACCACAATTCCTGCCATGGCTAGGCAACATGGCAGGCTGCACCGCCACATTTTCTGTCACTAGCACGAGTTACATCCCAACCAATGTGCTGATCCTCTCACTCCAAAACTGACAATCACTGCTGTACTTCTGAGAAAGCAATACTACGCCCAAAATAATAGGCACAAAAGCTTTGGAGCAATCCCCTCTGAACACAAGTCCGCACAGGTCGCATTTATGATGATATGACACCACACACCAATCAAGCCACTGTAGGTGTGGAAATGGATGTGGATATTCAACTGCTGCTGCTCAACTCCAAACTCCAGGATTCAACAACTATGAAGGGTTGGGGGGGACACCCCAGTTGCTTAACATACTTTTTGGCCAATGCGCTGTTGCTGAAATACTTCACTTAACTTAGTATGAACCAAAATTAGCAGTAAATTTGCTCAGCATTTAAGTACTGTGCACTGAAGAAACTTTCCACCATGGCTGCGGACACATGGCTGTGGTGCACCCTGCTCCAACATAGCGCGATCTTCTTTTGTCCATTGCCACAGGCACAACGGCATCCCACCACTACGCTACAGTGGGCCAGAAACCCTAAACGCACTGCACATACTTGGCATCGTTTCACACATGGCTTGTACTGATATGCGATCAGGCATGACAAAATCCATACAGGAGTGTCAAAAATCTGTGCTGAAGAAAAGTGTTTTCATTTTGCATTCTGCAATCAACCCAGGTCTGGGAATCCTTGGGACTATGTTACCATTGATGGGTCATCATCCTTTCTGTCTGTTTAGACCATCAAGTCATACAGTGATGCCATTGGGGTGGCAAAAGACCCCCCATTCCTTCCGTTAGAGCAAGGGTTAGCACCTGGGAATGTCAGCCCAACAGTGTAAACTTCAAAGCTTCTTGTATTTGCACAAGGGTGTTTACCTAAATTGATATCAGTCACTGCCATTGTGTTCACCTGCCCAGAATCAAGGGAAGAGCAACAGTACAGATGCAAAAGGGAAAGCACGATCTGCAATGCTGTGATTTGCTGGTTGGAAATTGCCTTCCATTGCTGGACTGCCAGTTGCTCACAGCACTTACACATTGGAAACAAAATATACAAGATGGTGTCGAACTTGGGACAAATGCCGCTTGCACAAGATCTGCTGCAAAGATCACGGGAAAAGCATTTGATGTGTATTTTTTTCCAATCTGTGCAAAATGGAGGTGTTGCTTTTGAACAATTTGCAAGCAAGGTATTGGGAGTGGTACTGGCAGCTCCAAAAATATCTGCTCTGCATCAGCTGCTGATTCAAACCAGAAAATTACGCAAAACGCTGTGGCACCAGGCTTCAGCCTTTCAGATTGGTGCCAGCACGCTGATCCCACTAGGTACAAGAACTGTGGAAGCAAGATTGACCCTTTACAGGACTGCCATGTACTTTCATTACATTCCTGTCAGCACTGGAGAGTGGCATGTCTCTGTCCAATGTCTAGTTGCTGGATCCCAAAACATGTCGGCCCCTCTTAATCCCATCCAGAAAATGGGGCCAGTACTCTCCAACGGAGCAAAACAGCATAGGGGTGGTTTTCAATAACGAACTATCTTGCATAAAAGAAGCGGAATTCTACACCCTGAACATCTACCTACCAGTGCTGGCGTGGCCCAACCCAGTGCTGCGGAAAGGACGGTCATCAGCACCAGAGCCGAAAGGCACCCCGTGAAGACCTACGTGCAACCCATCAATCCAATCAAGTCAGCAAATAACTGTTAAAATTCGAAACTGACCACCTCACAACAGACTTTGTCCATCCTAAGATGCCCATCAACACCCATGAGCTTGGCATTTCAGGTTTCAGGATGCCCTGCTGATTTGTCCAGTACATTTTTCATCTAGCAAGGCCAGCCTAATGTTGACAACGGCATGACAGTATTGTGCGTGCAACTTTCATCCAATCTGATCGACAGCAACAGCAACCACTCTTCCACTCTTGACACTCTTCCTTAAGGACAGGGTTGAAGTTGTATGGACTGCAATTGTTCTATGGACGCCAACAAAGCCGTGACAAACAAAACAGCCAACAAGTCAGCAAGCCAACAAGCCTTGCACCTTGCAGGCGATCACACACTCATAAAGATGTACACAGCTGCTGCACATTCGGACAGTGCAGGTGTCTGAACTATCTGCTGCAAAACAAGGGGCGATGATTGGCCCTGTACAAATCCAATTCGATTGTATTTGTCTGTTTTAGAGGTGAGTGGTGCATCTGTGGCTTGCTGGCGATGTTGCACAAGTGCACATCCAAAGTGTGTGCCGGTATGCCAATGTCTCATGGATCCTGGCTGCATTCAGTGACACAAAGTGCAAAAGAGGGTGGTTTGTCGTGTATCAAACACATTTTTCAATGCCACTATCGCATTCTTCACAGATATTCAAGATCTCCAACAGTCCTTTCAAATGGAATTGGTGCTTCAGAGACTGCAGGTCCCAAAGCCACCGGCATGGGATCTGCTGACGCCTCACTCTTGGTCCCTCCTATCACCACCACCTTCAGCCGCTAGCCAAAACTTGCAAACAATTCAAAGATCTATTACTAAGGATTGGGAGGCTGCGCAACTGCTGCCAGGGTACCTCCCAGGGTCTCACTCACGTGTTCCCATCGGAGAGACGGTCATGAGGGACAAGAAAGCCCCAAAATGCTGCCTGAAGGTGTTTTGGGGTCAGTAGGCTTGAACATGTGTCCCAGGGAACTTCCAGTACGACCCATGGGACCCAAGAACAGTCAAGATTCCCACCAAGTGACGATTCTATATTAATGACCACGGCGACGGTAGCGCCGTGGAAAACACCAACCCCTTGCGCGGGCCGGGCAAAACCTGCCCCCTCCATATCAGCCAAACAAAACAACCACAAGAAAGAAAGAAACGCCGTCCATGGATCCCGGCCTCGGCCCACGCGACTCCATTGCCACCTCATCATCGATGCGACCACACGCAATCGCACTCAGACGTCGCGCGCGTTTCCCAGTTCCCCTGGAGAAAAGTGACAATAGAAAAAGAAAAAAAGACAAAACAAAGTGTTAATGAATCCTGGAAGTTGTCTGCCGAAGGACCTGCAATCCAGTCCGACCGCTACGCCCACAGTCCCCCCTTGAGCCGCAGGTTGCGCATCGCCTTCACCGCCGCTGCGAACAATCACCGCCATGACCCCAACGGAAGAGAAAAAAGCAGAAGAGACAACGAAAAAAATGGCAAGTGTCGCCCGACCCGCCGGGCCTCAGGCAAGCCAATTTTTCCACCGACCCGCCACCCACCTTGAGCCGCGGGTTGCGCATCGCCATCACCGCCGCGATGAAGAACGTCTTGTCGCCCACCTCCGACGCGATCGTCATGCCCAGCGACGCCATGGAGGCCTTGGCGAACTCGGAGCCCGCCCACGCGCCGTCCACCCCCCCGGTGGCCATTGCGGGCACCACCGGCACTTCAGGCATCGCCATTTTGCAAGGTGCGCCGCAGGAGGGTGAAGGGCTTATGCGAAGAGCCCTGAGCGCAGGAGGAGTGTGGTGGAGGTGGGTGGGTGGGTGGGGTGGGGAGAAGTGGCCTGAGGTGCTTGGGTGATGGAACTACCTTGGACTAGTCGTGTGACGGGGATCGTGGGCTGCTGACATGTGCGGGGTCCCCGCGTGGTGCCAGGGAATATGTTCTCCTTCAACAGTAGTGTGTTGAACATATGTTCTCCTTCAATAGTAGGCACCCTCTATTAGTATCCACCCCCCCCTTTGGGGGGTCCAAACCACGTTAGTATCCATGACCTGGTGTTCATATCCACCACCAAACATAGACAGAAACGAGTGAAGGCACGGATGGTGGCAAGGGCTGGTGTTGGACCGCGTTGCCTAGTCTGGACCAAACCGTGTACCCTGCGATTCACGCATCGATGGGGAGGATCGGGTCGGAGTGGATGTTGTCGAGGGAGAATTTGAAAAGGGGGCCTGCGAAAGGCTCCATGGTCGATTGGCCACCGTTGGCATTGTCAACACAGGATCGCAGGGCATCGACCAATGCCGCAAGACCTGATCAAAGAAGCAGTCGAGAAATCGAAACCGCCCTGGTTTTTAGATTGAGTCAACCTGCTCCCAGGCCAGCCAGAGTAGGTTCTGGCCTGCCGCTTGCCAAGGGTGCCCCAAGGCCCACCGCCAGGAATGGGCAAGAGATGGCATTGGTCAGGGCGTGTGCCATTGTGAGATCCCGCCTTTCAAAAATGCTGTCAAGCCTAGGCGCGTCCCCAATTCACACATCACACTAGCTACCAGGCCGCAAACTCAATCATAGATCACATCAGCCTTCCCAGCTGCCATCAACCAAGGAAAGCGCTGCATTTCAAGCCTATCATTGCGGTGAAGCCCAGTTGATCTGAGGGGAGCTTAGATTTGTCCCGAGTCGGATGAAACGGGGAGTCGGAATCCCCGGGCGGTTACTACATTTGTACATTATACAAGATTGTCTTTAATTGCTCCGTTCATTGTCCCATGTCCTTTGTAACCACCCCAGGGCCAGTTTACCCAACTCAGACCCATTTAGGGTAATCAAATACATCTAATTCATCTACAAAAGCAACCGTATCAATTCTCCCCCCCCCACCAAGTGTGGCCGTCCTCGGCCACGAGACCAACGACCCAAAAAACCAGCAAGAAAGAAGATACGGCGTACCCAGCAGAAATCCACAATAAGTCAGACTAACCGTGTCCCATACCACGATCCAATTTCGCATGTGAACCTGTATCCATATATGGCCCTTGATCCACGCCCATACGTGGCGTGGTACATTTGGGGGTTAGGCTTATTTGACATTTCTGGAGTGGGAATTACGTAATTGGCTAAATCGACCTTTTGGGGACGTTATTAAGAGCTTCCTGGTTCCAATGCGCTTTTAAACGCCCAAATCCGTTAAGAATTGATGAAGATATGGCCTCCTGAAGTCGTAGTACTTAGGGCCAGGGGGTCGGGTGTTAGATGCTTGGAATTAGAGGACATTAGGTCGATCGTAGGTGAACGGTGGACGGTGACTTGGTGCCTAGACGCGCACATTGACTTGTCTTGTCTTGATGTGACCGCGATGGACCCGCGATCGGGCATCGCGCATGCGATATGTGCGCGCGCATGCTGTGAATCCGTGTAACATCTTTGGCCCACTCTCTGGCCTCCCGCGAGCCAGCGAACCACCACACCGCTGCGCCGCCACCTCTCGCCGACAGCAGGCTCCGGGGATCGATCCCCGTCGAGCATTGGGCCCACCGCGCGACCACCGAATCGACTGCCCCGGATACGCCCACCATCCAAGGTGGAGAGAGCCGGCTGACCTCCAACAGCCGAGCCGCAGGGCAGGGCGACCCCCACGCCTCCGGAAACCAGCGGCCGCCGACGGGGCCGCAACAAATTGGTTTCGGAGCGCGAAGCCCGGAGCCGGGAGCTGAGCGAGAGGCGCAGCACCACAGAGTGACCACGCGGCTTGTGAGGGCTGCGGATTTCCAGAAGCCTCCAACACCCCAGGCAGCGGTCAGCACCTCCGCGGGTGCTGAATCGCCGTGCTGTGTGCCTGCGGGAGTTCGTTTTGCGAGCCTAAGGAGCTTTTCAGTGGACGATTGGTGTTCGGGGATCGACGGCGCTGGGCGATCGCCAGATCCGCGGATTCAGCTGCGGATTCAGTGCATGCGCCAGGCGCACTTCGTGTAGCCGAACACGTGAAGGCCAGCACCCCTCAGTTGGAAGATTCCTTCAACCTCAGGTGCCACCCGCTGTAGAATAGGGGTGAAGGTCCCGCTCTAGAAGTAGGGGACATCTGCTGCTTCACCTTATTTTGCAGGTACTGCAGGCGGGTCACCACCAGACCGCTCTGCATCAAGATTAGGGGCCTGATTAGGGGAAGGGGGAGGAGATTGAGCACGGCAGTAGGCAGGCCCAGTTGGGTCCAGAGTGCTACCTCCTAGAGGAGGCATCTCCCCTGGAACCAGTCAGAGGGTGAGGCCATTGCCCACCTGAGGTAGACAGGCTAGTCACTCCTTCGGAACCTTGGGTGGCTGAGTCTTAAAATATTGGACAGGCTGGGGGTGCCATAGGCCAACCCAGACCTCTTACAGCGGTCTCGTCCTAGGCAAGGGACACCTTCTTAGGTTGTTCGGCTGAAGCTGGGACTAAGTTTTCATTAGTAGCCACAGACGCACCCTCTGGAAAGTTACCAGGTGGACCGAGAGGTCACCCTGCAGAGTATTGGGGGTAACTGTGTGTGAAAATTATTACTGAAAACCAGTAGAAGCAGGATAGCTTAAGTTGGGAGGTAAAGGCTGCTTGGCTACTTAGGGATAGGATTCAGTGGACTTTCAGTAGCCCGAGATCAGGTCTACTCCGATTGACTTCGTTTCAGTACAGTTGATCATCGGATCAGTGTCGTGTGTGGGATCATGGCAGATCGTGATATGATGGAGCTGCAGGGCCATGATGGTGTGGAGGAGATTGACGGGACAGTGGAGACAGTCGCCGAAGCTGGACGTGTAGGAGTTATTGCTGCGTCATATGAGGCGCGGCAACAGAGGATTCTGATTGCCGGGACAGAGCCGGGGGCAGTGGTGTTGGGAAACCCAGAGGGTGCCCTGGTCTCCAGGACCGAAGCTGCACAGGGGATGCAGAAGTTGGAGCAGCGAGCTGCACAGGCGATTGCAGGGACTGCCGCCCAGACAGCACATGCCATGAATGTGCTGGCTGATCAGACGGCATCAACAGTGCAGCAGACTGCCCAGACATCTCATAGGGCAGTTTCGCATTTGGAGGGTCAGACCAGGGAGGCATTTGGGCGGACTGAGACTGCTATGTCGTCAATGCATAGAAATGTCTCCAGCAATGCAGAGCGCCTTTCAGAGCTGGAGAATGCATTGGCACATGAGAGGCAGAGGAATTTGGATACTGAACAAAGGCTGAGGAGGGAACAGGATGCGACTGTCGAGCGGCTTACTCGACAGCTTCATGACGCTCTGTCCAGGATCGATCAGTTGTCCGCGGACCTGGCCATAGAGCGATCACAAAAAGATTCTCAGCCCCGCCAGCAAACTCTGCCTGGACCCCCAGAGCCACCAGCAGCAGTTACATACAGCAGACCTCCGCATTTGCAGCAGGAGGTGGAGATTGTTGCTGATGCTGGCGATCAGACGATGCCACCTGCACAGACCAACCATGCTGCCCGTCCAGGACGACAGAGGTCCAGATCACACAGGTCGCGGCATGCACGTTCGCCCAGTTCTGACACGACATCATCGAGCGAGTCATCGGGGAGACGCACTCGCAAGGGGGCTGGAATTTTTGACGTCCAAATAAAACCAAAGGACCCTCCAACATTTTCGGGCAGGACATCGGAAGACCCGGAGGTGTGGCTGGGTCAGGTGTCGAATTTTTTTCGTCTGGTCGGAGGATCGCCTGGGAAGCAAGTTGCATATGCTTCCACTCTGCTTCAGGGAACTGCACAGACCTGGTGGCAGAGAAAGCTGAAGGCATGGGAGGACCCCAAGGACATGCAGACCTTTGGAGAGCAGCTGATCAGCCGGTTTCAAAACACCAACAAGGCTGATTCTGCAATGGCTGCATTGATGAACATCAAGCAGAGGAAAGAGGAGTCCACGCATGATTTCATCTGTAGGTTCGAGGCTGAGTTGGATAGGGTGGACACCTACGATGAATCATGGGTGTTGAAGATGTTCATCTGGGGCCTTCCCCAAGACCAGGCGGTACTTGTCTCACAGGGAAAGCCTAAGAGGCTGAGCCAGGCTTTCCAGCTGGCCAGGGACGCTGCATTGGCTGCCCAGATGTCGAGGCGCCCAGGATCAAGTGGACGTACAGAGGGCAGCAGTGGACAGAAGGGCCATGGACGAGGCCAAGGCAAGCAGCTAGGACAGCACAGTGGACAAGGACTGACACCAGCTCCTAATGTTGTATACTACCAGGCTCAAAATAAAAATGTGCAACAAGGGGGTAATCGCGGAAGGGGGCAGGCTGTGAAGCCACCCGTCCCTCCACAGGCTCCAGTTGTGGTATGCCAGCCTGTACCACAGCAGCCTGGTGGATCTGGACAGAGGGGACGGGGCAGAGGCAACCAGAGGAAGCCCCGGGTAGCAGCTGTAGCTGCCCATGACGATCAGGGGATGGCTGGTCAGCAGGACCAGGTGGCTGCACAGCATGCAGCTGGGCATGGAACTGATGCTTCTCTGCATCAGGGGCAGGGAAACTGACTGGCCCCCACTCTGGCCAGTCAAAAGTTCATCGGGGGCAACAGGAACAGGTTATCCAGAGAACCTGTATCCTTGAAAACAGAAAACTCAGCATCGCTCAGAGAAGACGTCAGAGGAGAAAGTGGCAGTGGAGAAAGCGGCTGGAAAGACGTCGGTACCGACGCGCACAGCGAGTTGAGCAGAAAAAGGTTTCGGTTGATGACACCAGGGAGACAACTTTAATG